TCTGTATAAATTCTTTGGGGTATCCATTACTTAGACAAATCCGCTTCAGTTTGTCTAACTCCTCGTCCCAGAACTCTTTGTCTGTTAATCGTAGGCTTCTGATGATCATACTCCTCAGTATCCAGATCTTCATTCTGTAGTTATGATGAGACGAGAAATTAAGGATTATTCCCGCATACAAATCCTTTATGTATAGTTTCCTTTTGAGTGTCCCTTTGTAGCGCATGACTTCAACATCCAGAAAGGGTAGTCGTTCATCTTCCTCAGCCTCCATTGTAAACTTAATTCTTCCATCAAGTTGTTTAATAAAATTGAGGAATTCACTTTTTCTTACCATGTGCCCAAAGTGCAAAATAGTCATCCAAGTATCGTATGAGCACTCTTGGTTGCAGTGGTGACCTTTCGAATTCCCTTTCCAACTTGTTCCTCAATTTCATTAACCAACTTGATGAAAGAATTAAGTTGAGGAAGATGAACGACTACCCTTTCTGGATTTCGAAGTCATACGCTCCAGAGGGACACTCAAAAGGAAACTATACAGAAAGGATTCGCATGCGGGAATAATCCTTAATTTCCAGTCTCATCATAACTACAGAATGAAGATCTGGATACTGAGGTGTATGATCATCAGAAGCCTACGACTAACAGACAAAGAGTTCTGGGACCAGGAGTTAGACAAACTGACGCGGATTTGTCTAAGTAATGAATACCCCAAAGAATTTATAGAGAAACAATGTAGAGGTTATAAAAGGCCGATTTTAACTTGGATTCAATGAAAATCAGATTAGGAATCAGGATAACAACCAAAAGTGGATCTGCTTGCCCTCATCAAAACTGAGCCAACAATTGCTACCTTTATTAGGAAAATGGAATATTAAGGTGATAACAAAGGAGAAGATAACACTTTTCACCGGCCTACCAACGCAACACGATAAAACGGATAAACTTGAATGTTCGGGAGTTTATCGTATCAAATGCGGTAACTGTGATCAGAAGTACATCGGTGAAACAGGACGAAAAATCGGCCTACGAATCAAGGAACATCAAAGACTCTGCAGGAACATGGATACACAAAGATCAGAAATAGCGGAACACATTGCTCAAACGGGACATGAAATAGACTGGAAATCGACCGATAGGTTGGCTGGATATGGTGAAAACACGAGAAAACGCAAGATCCAAGAGGCCATTGATATACTGACTGAAAGGAATCTAATGAATTGGAGACTTAAAGAAGGCAGGATCAGCGAAAATTTTGCATATTGCATGAACAAACTCGGAAACATCAAGCAACAACAGGATCAGCAAAAAGAAGACGACTGGATCAAGATAACACCCTTAATTTTAGGAAAAGAGATAGCAAAAAGATGAGAAAGGAAGAATCAAAAGCCAAGAGGAGACGTCTTCAGTGAGCCTTAGCAAAACAAGTATGACCACGACATTTGTGGGTTGGCACACATAAGAAATGATAGTCATGGTATTATGAGATAAAAACAGGAAA